TTAATAGGGGGCATCCATTAATTCCCCAATCAATAACAATAATATAATAATAATTTTTTGAACTAATGTTAAACATTAAAAATTAATATCCATTAATATCCAGCTGAGTATTAATATCTTCAATTTTAATACAAATCAAAAATTTTAAATTAGCACAAATCACAACAAATCAAAATTTTTAATTTTAGCACAAATTATAACAAATCAAAATTCCTAATTTAAATGTTAATCACTAGAAATTAATATTTTTAATTTTAGCACAAATCAAATCCCTAATTTTAGCACAAACAACAACAAACCAAAATCCATAATTTTAATATAAATCACCACCAATTAAGATTCATAATTTTAGCATATCAAAATCTCTTATTTTAACATAAATAATAATAAATCAAAAAAATTTACAAATCAAAACTTAACAAATAATTATAAATTAATACTCATAATTTTTATTTAAAAGTTAAAAAAATAATAATAAAGTTACCTGTAAATAAGGAAGAGAAGATACCAAGGTTGTAGTGTGGTCCCAAATCTATGTTTTGTGATCCTAATTTGGTGAATCGCGAGTCGGTAAATTACAAAATAACAAAGGGAGACAAAGAAGATAAAGAAAATATGAAAATATTTCACAAGTATTGTGAATAAATAAAAAAATAAAGAATTTCATACACTAGGTTTTAGAATTTTAACCTTATTATAATTGGAGTTGTGTATACTTATTTAAAAAAAACGTTGTGTATTAATATTTGATTGGGATTGAAATTCCTAAAAAAGTAAAAATAAAAATACAAACACAAACGTATAAAAATAAAAGTACAAACACAAACGTGGGCGTCTGATGTGTGGCGTGTGTGAGAGAGAGAGAGAGAGAGAGAGAGAGAGAGAGAGAGAGAGAGAGAGAGAGATATAGAGAGAGTGAGTGGTCAGTGAGTTTAAATGTGTGTGAAAATAAACGCAAACCACACTTTAAAAAAAAGAATATATATATATATATATGAAAAATGTTTGGGGGCCCTAATTCTGTGGCTCAAATGTGGCTCAAATGGCCAAAACGACGTCGTTTTGGCCATTTTGATGTTGTTTTGTACTCAAAACGACGTCGTTTTGGCCATTTGAGCCACATTTGAGCCACAGAATTTGGGCCCTCTACCATTGCTCTATATATATATAGAGTAATGCTAGGGATCTTAAATATTGTACCAAAAATTTTACTAAATGTTTCATATGGGTATGAGACCTACATAATGTGAGTTTCATATGGATCCCACACATTTAATAAAATTTTTGATAAAATTTTTAAGACCTTTAACATTTTTGATATATATATTACAAACGACAATGCTACGTAGCTCAAATTTTGTGGCTCAAAAGTGGCTCAAATGGCTAAAACGACGTCGTTCTGAGTACAGAACAACATAAAAATGGCCAAAACGACGTCGTTTTGGCCATTTAAGCCACTTTTGAGCCACAAAATTTGAGTTACGAGACAGCAATGGTTGGTGTAGGCTTTGGGAGTAGGGAGTTGCAGCAGCGTAGGGGAGGCGTGGGCAGCAGCATAGGCATGGGTGGTGAGGACTTTGGGAGTTGTAGCTGCAGAGACCTGTGAGTTGTAGCTGCACAGGCGTGTAGTGACTAGGGGTGTGCATAATACCGCCGAAACCGCCGAAACCGCCAAAACCGCACCGAGCCGCACCGCAAAGGCAAATTCGTTATTATTTTCCAATCGAACCGCCGGTTTTTGGTAAGAAAAATGGCAAATTCTAGTGATACTTTTATCACCCTCCCATTAATCTCTCTAGAAAACACGTGAATCATTTCAAAGCGTGCTCCATTGGAATTGGTGATACTAATTTTTTTATTTATATAAAATTTATTAATTTACACGTTATATTACTCTAATAAATTTATGACGTACTTCTTTCACACCTCCAACACTTGATGATCAAGGGATTCAAGAAATAGAAATAGAGATATAAGCTTTAAAGGGAGATTTGTATTTTACCATTCTTTCTGTCATCATATCTGCAAGGATATTTTGAAATGAAGTGAACCCAAATCTTTGCATGACAACACAACTGATCTTGATGAGGCAATCAAGCTTAGCTTTCTTTATTGGAGCATGACAAACGTATAATAATAAAGGGTGATTACTCCAAATCTATAATGAAATCCACTTCTTTGCTAAAGATGATTTGTAATGGAGTATTTATTAAATATTAATAGTACATATATGAAAAGCGGGAGAGAATTGTTTTGGAGTTTGTTGAAAGATAATACAGAAGTTAGATTTATAATTCGAAAAGTTATCGTATGAGTCTAAAACATCCCGTATTTATGTTTTGTTTAATCAAGATTTATTATTAGATAATCTCACTCCTACCAATGTAGATAATTATGCTAACCGAGATAATGTATATGATCTCTAAGAAATTCTTAAGTCTTAACAAATGGCGTGTATCATGATTGTATCATCTTCACATGTTTATAGTTGTTTGATAATTATAATTAAACAAATGTGGGGACAAGAGTATAACAACTTTTGTTGAATTAAAAGAAAAAAAAAAAAAAAGTATAATGACTTTCCCACCTTTGCATGGACTGATTAATGGTAGTTGTCTTGCTTAGATTCAAATTCATATCACAGTTGTTAAATCTAATGATTTACGTTTTAATTATAATGTATTGTCTAATTATTAATTTTAAAATTAATTGAGATACGTGTAAAATTGATCCAACACTCAGTTATAAAAAATAAAAATAAAAAATGGTTTTGACTGTCTTCTTCCATACACGCTGGAAATATAGTGTCACGTGGCGGCTTCTCCATGGCCGTGCTAATTTGGATACAAAAAAAGTGCAGAAATTGCAGTTTTAAAAATACAAAACATGTTACTATGATAATACTCATCACATGAGTTATGTTTGGAGGATTCAAGAACAATTACCGAAGTGTCCGAAAAGTATTTATTACTATGAATTTAATTTTTGGGTATATTATATTGACACCCCTCTTGATATTTATGTTTATTATAGTTTTTTCTCACCTTTTGAAAATTATATCCTTCTTCCTGAGGTTTAAAGTTTCATTACAGATTACTCATTCAGTTAGTTGACTGTTAAGTCAACTAACAGATTTTGCTGATGTCAGCAATTTAATTTTTTTAAATACTAATTTTGCACTCACTAGGTAAATTGCATTGACACCCCTCACATTTTAGAAATTATAATCCTCTCTCCAAGGTTTAAAGTAGTATTACCAATTGCCCCCTCAGTTAGTATTAGTTGAAAAAAAAAATTAATTGAAAAAAAATTTGTTAGTCAAAATTTTAAATTTCTGTTTAAAAACCAACGTAAACTCATTTTTTGAATTTACTTTTTTTTCCTTGAATTTACTTTTTTTCCTCAAATTTACAAACTGAGATAACCATTTATAAACCAAAAAAATTATCAAATAAATTTTTATGACAGTTTTTTAAATTTTTTTTAATATAAATTGAGAACTGAAAATGAAATAGTTACCATACAAGTCTCAGATGATAAAAATGTTACAAAATTAACAAATAATTAAATAAGTTATCAATGTAAGAAATGACTTATCAAAATATTCTTAGGCTATGTATGGTTTGATTTTTGGAAAAAAAATTTAAAAATTAAAAATAATTTGGTTAAGAAATAAAATATAAAAAATAAATATCATTTTTATATAACTTTTATCTTTTGAGTGGTTAGAAATAATTTTTTACAAATTAAATATATTTCTTCATATTTATTTTTATTAAATTAGTTTTTTTTTTTTAAATGTCAAGGAGGATCCGTATTAAATTGAAATCTCAGGGGGTATCAATGTAATTTACCCCTTAAAGTATATGTAAAGGTTAAAGGTAAATATATTATTTTAACTTAAAAGTTAACACTGTCAAATAATTACACTGGCAAGGGATCAGTGTGATTTTCTAAATGTGAAGGGAAGAACTGTAATAAATATAAATCTCAGAGGGTGTCAATCTAATGCACTCTTAATTTTTTGATTAACATATATTAGAAAAGGAAGCTTCTATATACACACACACCTAATCCCCTTTTTGCACATCCTTCTCAAAACACACACCAAAAAAATTAATTCCTAATTAATTTCCTCACTACGCACACAGTGAGTTCCAAATGTACCCCCTCACACACACACACACACCCGACCCCAAATACACACACCTATTGAATCTAAAGCACATCTTTAACCTTGAAGCATTCCATCACCGCTGAAGCACCTATTGAAGCATTGAAGCACATCTGCAAACACATTGAAGCATTCCATTTCCTTACCGTGTGCAACCCAGGTGTGCAAATATATTGAAGCATTTCATCCACGAAGCTGCATCCCATTGAAGCATTCCATCAGATTTTCAATCATCATTAGGTGAGTTTACTTTTGAATCATCATTCCTATTCAATCCTCATTTTCATCTGTAATGTAGAGTTTTTCAGTTGGAATTTAGAGTTTGTGATTTGGAACCGTCGTTCGAAACTGGTTATCCGAAACATAACAATGTATTCGGACGTAGGAATCCGAAAAAATTCAATATTTTCATCAGTAGATTTTCGAAATTTTTACATTCATTTGATAGTCAACTTCCGAAAAAATTGAATTTGGACAACAGTCAACCTCCGAAATTATGTTTTTGTTTCGGACAACAACTTCCGAACAGAATAGGTATTTTCGGTTGTGAACTTCCGAACAAGTTTTTTTTTTCCCTTCTTAATTAAAACACTTAATTATAACACTTAATTATAACACTTATTATAATTTAAAACACTTATTATTTACACACACACTCATTACACACACTCTCATTAATTTTACACACACTCTCTCATTATAATTTAAAACACTTATTATTTACACACACTCTCATTAATTTTACACATACACTCATTACACACACTTATAATTTAAAACACTCTCATTAATTTTACACACACACTTAGTATTTTTTGCAGATAATATGGATTCTGAATATCAACAATGTGTCCCACCTACTGCTTCAAATAGACGACGTCGTGAATTGGATGTAGACCATGAACGGGGACGAGGGCGTGGGCGAGGACAAGGTCAAGGTCGTGGTCGAGATCGTGATCCAGTTTCGGTAGAATATGATATTCCCAGTGCCAGTCAAAGTGGGGGCCGAAGCCAAAGACGAGTTGAAGGTTATGATATGCCTGACATTGCTGTGGAGGATACCTCTTTGCCTGATTCTCCTCTTGTCCAGGAAGAGTACCTTACTCATGCTTTTCCAGGTGGACCGACTGATCCGTCAATACTGCGGAGTTTCAATAGTCATGTGGCTGTAGCTATTTGGCACGGGGAGGTAAACATTCCTCAGTAAAATTGAAATTCATTTGTATATGAGTTTTTTTTTTTGTGTGTGTGTGTGTGTTGTATGGTAGTTTGTAATGAGCTATCATTTGTGTTGTAGGAACGAGGGCCCCTAAAGTGTCATAATCACTCTTCCAAGATCCTTGCATGGCCATGGTGGTTAGTAGAGAATAACACCAGATTCAAAGCCATTATTGAGCAGTCTGGACTGTCACAGTTAGCTCGTTGCACTTATCGGTTCGTCAACAAGCTTCTAATCTCCAGTTTTGTTGAGAGATGGCAACCTGAGACGAACACATTTCACATGACAGTTAGTGAGATGACCTTGACCCTGGATGATGTTGGCACTATTCTTGGCCTTCCCATTGTAGGCAAATCAGTCAGCATACCAGATGTGACAGATCATCATGGAGTTACATTACTCGTTTATGGCTTGGGGATTACTGAACGTGCAGCACATGAAGAGGTTTCTTCTGCTGGTGGCAATTCAGTCAACCTTGAATGGTTGCGAAGTCAGTTTGTTGGTGTCACAGATTCAGACCCCGAGGAGGCTATATAGTGCGCTGCAAGAGCTTATTTGTTGTTTCTGTTAGGATGTACACTCTTCAGTGACAAGAGTGGCGGCAAGGTTCCTGTTGTTTACCTCGGCTTGTTGATGGATTTGGGATCCATACATACTTATGCCTGGGGTGCTGCTGCGTTAGCATTTTTATATAGACAGTTGGGGTTTACTAGTCGGTCTGGGGTTAAGCAGATAGGTGGTTATATGACTCTTTTGGAGGCGTGGATTTATGAGCACTTTCGAGCATTCCGACCTCATCAAAACATGTGCTACAATGAAGACATGTCACACGTGTACCATTGGGCATCTAGGAGAGAGGCGGGTTCCTCCATTGACCATTTGAAATCTTTTCGAGCCGAGCTTGACAGTTTAGTAGCTACTGATATAAGTTTACTCATCTTGCGATAATTTTAACACTTCCATTTATCTTACCCTTTATGTACTTTAATGCAAAAACACTTTACGTTTACAGGTTATTTGGAATCCATACCACAGCTGCAGAGACCGGCATCCATATAACCCGGTCACGTTCTACCATGGATGCTTAAAGTGCTTAGACGTTGTCGAACCATATCATCCAAATAGAGTTTTGAGGCAGTTTGGTAGGGTTCAAACCATCCCAAATGCACCGCTAGCTCCCAATCGTGGTGCGCGAGGCAACATATCTGCACGATATACAGTCATGTATAGATACTTGGATAGGATCTAGGAGGCTTGGGATAACCACGTGTTATTTGAGCAACGGAGGAGCACACCAGTTCGTCAGCCTTGGCAATGTGTACCGGGTTACATGGATTGGTATAAGAATATCACACACCTATATGTCGAGCACACTAATGAACCACGTGTCCATGACCATCAGGATTTCAGCGAACATGCGGATGTAATCTATTATCCCCTCTTATGCATATGTAACTTACTTTTTTTTTTCTGATATGTTCCCTAAAATGCGATATTCTTTTCAAATGCAGCGTATTGCACTTGCACTGCAAATTTCACATCCTATTATTGACGCTGGTTATCAGGAGGGGATTCGCCATCCTTATCGACTTTACCAGGCTATCGAGAGTATGACACATGTTCTTGAAGGTCAGCACATTGACGAAGCTGGACCTAGTTCTGCTGGACCTAGTTCTGTTGGAGGTCGCTTTCCATCTTCGACATTGACATACAGTCGTAGGCCTAGGCGTAGGCATACAGCTGATTCGTGACATGTTATGTTGTTACATGTTATTTTGTTAGTTGATGAATATTGTTTGGTGTTTTTTGTAAGATGACATTGTTGTAATGGTAACAGTGGTTAATATTTTCTTATTAGAATGGAATGACAACAATGGTATTGTAATGACCTTTTATTATTAGAATGAAATGGTAACAATGGTCGTTGATTTTGTAAATGATATTTTCTTATTACAATGGAATGATAACAATGGTCGATAACATTCAATCCACATTGCAAAATATAACACATCAACATAAAAAACACATTCATTAATTTCTTCCATAATTGTAACATTGTCAAATGCATACATGTGTCATGCGACATCAACAACATCAAAAGTCTCTCGAGTAGCTACATTATCATGAATAATGTCCTTGAAATGTTGAATGCGACGCACATATGCATCATCCCAGTCCACAGCGCAAGGGTGACGGTATTTTCTCCAATTAGTGGCAATAGGAGGAACTGGATGGCCTGGCTGCAACAAAACCTGCACCAAATATCAATTGACTTAGTGGTCATACCTCATAACTTCTTCTACATGCATAAACGCAATTGATAAGTTTCTGTTATACCTGCACATTTGACAATATGCTTGTCAATTCTTCAAACCTTTCATAGGACCCATAAAGTGTAATGTATTCCTCTTTGTGTGTGTGCAGCTCACCCAATAGGTTACGCCTAACCTGAGCCCAATCATCTTCTGTATGACCAATTGAAGCAGCTATAGCCCTGAAACCACAATTCCCATCTGTAGCTACATCCTTGACAAACTTAATGTATGGTTTCAATCCAGCAGGGAAAGCATCAACATATGCACCAGGTTTCACTGTTCTAGTAATGTATGCCTTCCTTTTTGGATTCACCTTCTCCTTTCCCTTAACAGGTCGCTTCTTCTCCTTTCCCTTAACAGGTCGCTTCTTCCCTGTCCAGATTGCACTAACTCAAATGCACACAGGTCACGACGGGTAGAAACATTGATCTTCTTATGATCCCGAGGACGTATTTTGGGCTTCACCTCCGGCTCAACAAGAAAAGTGCTTCCCGGATATACAATCTCTTTCAACTTCTTCAAAAGCTCCAACCGCATGGTTCTATCACTTTAATTAAACTTGTTCACAAACAACTCTACTTCTGCATGACAAGTCACCTCCGTTTCTTCTTCTTTCTTGCATATGGAGATATGAAGTTGCCTCCACTGTGAGTGTATGGTAGGAAATGGTATAGGACGATCTTGTCTGATGTAGTCAGCAATCTCATGGGCGCAAGGTAAACCATGAGTGTGGCGAATGACACATCCACAAGCTTCAACATCAATACCAATGGAATTGGCTCTCTTACTCTCGACAAGCAAATACTCCAATGCAGAGATAGATACATTACCCCGTAGCTCCCTGAATTGAAAAGGTTTAAATTGATGTTGCACAACAGTTAGACTTTTCTCAAATGAAGCCTTGATATCAGTGTGTTGCAACTCAAGCAGACTGTGTATTTTCCCAAATGATGCCTGAAATGAGACTTGACATGAACCCAATTGTCTTTTAAGTTTTGCATGTGCACTCTCAGCCCTGTTCAATTCAATGTAAGTCAAAGTTAAAATCAAGTACATGGTACTTATTAATAACATATTGAAGAAAAGTAATCTTACCGGTTCGTTGTAACATTGCCACAATGCATACACGTGTCTGTCCATGCCGCCACAAATTTGTCCTTATAAGGAACCAACCAAGTATCCATGACGTATTTGACTGCATTAGGATAACTACTGAATTCCTTAAGTAATGATTTAAGACGCTCCTCGTATTGAATTTCAAAAGATGAATACACTACAGAGTTCCACTCATGGTTGAACTTCTCCCATTTTTGCTGTGTCTCAAACATTTTCTTGCATATGGTCAACACATTCTTACTGATATGCCAACGACAAAATAAATGTCTGGCACTCGGGAATATCTTCTGTATGGCATTCATCAAGGCTAGCTCTTTGTCAGTAACAATAACTGTTGGCACAACAAACCCATCCATGACATCACGCAATGTAGCTAACACCCACGCATAGTTATCGACCCTCTCATACTGTAAGTATGCAAAAGCTACAGAGAATGTCATTTCAGTTGATGTCACTCCCACAATTTCAAGAAGAGGAAGCCGATATCTGTTGGTTTTATATGTGCAATCCATAATTAATATACGTGAGAAAGATCGAAATAAGTCCAAACTGGTAGGATGTGCCCAAAACAAGTCTGTCACAGTCATCATGGACTCTTCACGTCGATGGCGCTCAATGTAATTATACTTGGCCAATTCACCCAATAAGTGTTGCATCTGTGATCTTCCAGCTCTCTGTACCACCCTGTTTCGATGGCGTACATTGTAAATGGTTTTAAGTGTGCTTACATTGAGGGCATCTCGCTGTTTCAAGGTTACTAGGATTTCTTTTGGCCGAACCATGCTTTTTGACATATCCATTAACAATGCTTTCTCATCCTTTGATAGCCTCCCCGCATATGAATGTCCCTCGAGGTGCTCCGCAGGTGGATGATTATGCAATCCGCATACTACGGTCAATGTCTATTCATCATGTGTGGTAAACCTATGAACCCTCATATCAAAAGGACAACCACACTTCTTCGTACCGATTCTTGATGTATTGTTGCCATCGTGTTTTAACTTCTTTGTTGCTCTATATTGGCCACTTCTCTCACAAGCAAGATACATCCTAGGTCTTTTTTTCCCTCCACCATAGTCTGATGTTTTGATTACAATGACCAAACCATTTCTCTTTCCAACTTCACGTACCCAGTTGAACAATTCATCTTTACTTTTGAATACCTACAAAGTTAAATAAATAATATCAAACATTTAAATTTGGTGAGCAATTTGAAACATAATCGTTATAATTTCGTAGACTAAACCTGTTCTGTTGTGAATTGAGTGGTGTAATCTAACACAAAATCCGCACAAACCTGACTTCCTTGAGTTGACACATATTCCTGCATGTTTTGTATAACATTACAAATTTTTAATGGCATTATAAAGATTAATTTGCAATTTGAAACTGTAAATTTGGTATGCAGTTTGCAAATTTGGAATATAAAATGGAAAAAAAAAAATTTTACTTCATTCGGAAGTAATTGTCCGAATTTTTTTTAAAATTTCGGAAGTTGAATGTTGTAAAAGTTAACTTTGTTCGGACAACAACTTCCGAATTTAAATACGTTGTTCGGACAACAACTTCTGAAATTTATTACTTTGTTCGGACATCAACTTCCGAAAATACATAATTATTTCGGTAGTAGATTTTCGAACCAAATAACACAATTCGGCTTTGGTTATCCGAACAACGCTGGGAAAAAAAAAATTAAACTCATATTTCCTTCGCTCTGCTTCACATGAACACTTATTTGTTGATTTTCAGAAGGCAAATCCTCCATAACAATGATATTTTCCCTACGAATGACGAAGGTTGATGAACTTGGAAATGACAAAGCCCTTTGGTTTCACTTCTACCTCAATGAACATCATATACAGAAATTGATAGAAGAAGTGAAACCAATGGTGTCACTAGCTACACACACGATGCAACAGATGCAACAGATGCAACAAATAGAAGCTATGAATGATTACACACACTCCCTGGAAGAATCTATGAATGAGCATCCACAAGCTACACACACGATGCAACAGATGTGAACTCTGAGATGTGCATTGAGATGTTTTCAATTAACAATGGTGTCTAAAATAGTAATTTCACTTAGGGATAAAATTGTAATAAAATTAAATATCATTAAGTGTGTGTATTGAGGAGATTAGGTGTGTGTATATAGAAGCTCCCATTAGAAAATAAAAATGTTTAAGACCCCCTTTCCTTTTATCTCTTTGACTCCCTATCTTTTTTGATGGGCTATTTTTTCTTTTATTTTTTTTTTCCCTTCTCCTTCAATCACAACCTACCACGTATATGTAGGAGTTGTGAGAGTGATAATTAGAGGATCTTTATCAATGCTCATTAGAAAAATATCAAATCATATGCTTTTAAGAGTATCTTGGTGTATGCGTCCCCTCTATAAAACTGTCCGTACACTTTCTTTTTTCTTTTTTCTTTTTTTGTCTGCGCAGATGAATTCAATACATGTGGAAAATGTTCGTGGTATGATGTATTTGACAATGACAAATTTTTGTTTGGTTCATGTATAATCAATATGACCTGTGAGAAACTTTTAGCCAGCTTTCAATTATTGTCTTGATATTTAACGGCAAAAAACTGGACACCAATAATTAAAACCTATCAGCATCTCCAACACTTTAATATTTTTTTTATTAAATTTGAATAAAAAATAATTTATTTTTTCAATCTAATATTAATTGTTTCAACGGTGCATTAAAAAAAAATCATCCCGTGGGTCAACCAACCAGTCGGTCGACCAGTAAGGCAAATTTATTTTTTTATTATTTTTTTGACCTTTTTGAACTGTTTGAACCTATCTAACCGTTGGTTCAAATTTTTTTTGAACCGTTTGAATCAGTAATTTGAACCATTTGAACCAGTTTGTAGGCCAATTTTTGAACCATTTGCACGAGCTGGTCGACCGGTTGGTCAACCAGGTGGTCGACCAAGAGATCAACCAGATGGTCGACCACTATGTGTAAAATTTTCACAAATTTCTGCTTTAACGGCTATACACAGTGAATTGGTGAAAAGAGCAACTCGTTCTCAGTTTGGTGGAACGTTTGATGTTTTCTCATTTTGATACCAATTTACTGAAACTATTGGAGCACCAAAAAGTGATTTTTTTACCAAAATTTAAATCTGATGCCAAGTTGGATGAAGCCTTCGAGATGGTCTAAAAGAAAAGAAAGGCAAAAAATAAAAAATAAATATAAAATATAAATTACAATTGAAACACTTGCATGCTAAAACTCGGTCAAATTTGGTAGTTCCCCAGCTGTTGTCAAGAGGTTGTACCAATAGTAGTCCACGCTTGGGTTGTACCCATGAGCATGTTCCGCTCCATCAATTGGGGAGAATTGAAATTGAACTTGTGGGTCAGCTGTGGTTGCCAGAAAATCATTCATCGTGCCGGAGTTGTCAGCCGAGAACACTTCTGACCAAAAATTATCATCCACCTCAAAGAAGTTGTCTAATTCATCACCTTTCATCCATGTTGTGGTGGTGACGGAGGAGATGTCACTGGATGAATGTTGTGGGCTTTGAAGCCTCACTTGATTAGGATAATAATTCATGGGTTCTGATTCTTTTTGTGTGATTTGGTCATATATTTGTATATTTGTGGTAGATTGGGGTTGTTTGGTTACTGGGGTGGTCATGTTTTGGCTGAGTCTCTTTTTCAAGTGAGTGTGCCACACATTTTTTATCTCATTGTCTGTGCGTCCTGGCAATCTTGCTGCAATGGCTGACCATCTGCAATTCAAACATTATGCAAACATTTTCATTAGCCAATTGATGTCTTAAATAGTGCACTTTAAAGTTGACAGTAAGGCTGAAAACTACAAAGAACATTCAGTATTAAACCTTGACTTTTTTTATTTAAATGGGTTAAAAAAATCGAACACAACCCTCTCCTGAGTTTTGCCTTTTTGTGAGTCCGTTCAATTGATTTTTTTTAACTGTAATTCTATATTGTTGGAGAAGTTGCTTCCTTTGCACTTGACATTTATTAGTAATTAGTGTATTCTTAATTTTGTTCCATTGCAAACACACCTACCTATTTCCCAACTTTTCATGCAACTCTATGATAGCATCCTCTTCTTCTCTGGTGAAGTTTCCTCGTTTAATGTCCGGCCTCAAGTAATTTGTCCATCGGAGTCTGCAACTCTTTCCACACCTTAATAAACCTGACAAGCCAAGAAGATTTTGCAAATATAAAGACTATGTATATATATATACATCAATTCATTTTGTCACAAACTGGACCTTCTAAGAAAACCAAGAGAAAGAGAGGGAGGAAGATAAGGAGGTAGTTGGGGGAGAATATGAATATATACCGGCTTGTTTGGGAAGAGAGCGCCAATTGGGATGGCCATGGAGATTGATGAAATTGATTAGAATAAGATCTTCTTCAGGAGTCCATGGTCCTTTCTTCAGTCCCATCTTCTCACAGCATGGAGCTCTCACCATCTTTTATCTTTGATTCTCTTCAACCTTGTGGTCTCTCTCTGTTTATCTCTCAGCTCTGAAGCTGTTTGTATAATGATTGAAGTTGAAGGGTCATGGGTGGGTATTTATATTATGATGATTTTGTATGAGACTGTAATATTATTGTAGTTATGAAGTAATAGGAGCTAACTAGCTGCTTCCAATTATATATGATGTATGTATGTTAGTGCAAAAGTCCACCATTTCAACCAAAGAAAAGAGGCGAAGTACGGCCTACACTTTCCTGGAAAATCTGTAACCCTTCGGTGGTCAAACAAAACGTGGATATATAAATAAACAAGCCCAATAGTGGAGTTTATTTTGTGTCATATAGTTTTATCATTTCTTAAGATTCATTGAATAAATCATTAAAATGCAAAAACTGAAGTAATAGGATACCAGTAATCAAATTTGGGATGGTTGTTGTGCGAGGTGCACAATCACCATTGTTGTATATTTAAAGGGCTCATTTTGGGGCTCATTTCGATAATCCGAGCTATTCATATTTTAGAATATATTAAGTAGAACATACTTGTAAAAAATCAAATTAATCAGATATCTATCCATTCACATTTGTATCGACAAAAATAAATAATAATTGTGATTTAAAATATTAAAATGAATACAAATGTGCGTGAATAAAAAGATAAACGATATTAAATTAACTTGATTTTTTACAAGTATGTTTTAATTGATATATTCTACAATGTGAATGGTTTCGATTATTGAAATGAGCTTCGAAATGAGCCAATTTAGTTACACAATAGTAACTGTTGTTCACCCCCACAAAGTCATCACTCCAAATCCGTAATCACATGGATGACATTACATTTTTCTTTATAAATCAATACTCTTTATTTATTAAATCACATTGGTTATCCATTTTTTTATAAGGGTGGGTGATTCAATCATTTAGCTCTCGAGGTCGATTAATTTAATATTTTTTAATAGATAATTTACTGTTTACGAGATGAATAATTTAAATTATTCGCAATAAGTCTCACAAAAAGAAACTACTAGTTATGGCTCATAGTAGTAATCTCGAACTCACATAATTACTTAGGCCTTGTTTGTGAATAGATTTTTTTAAGTAATTTTTTAATTTTTTAGCTAAAATATGATGTAAAAAAATTAGTATATTTAGAATGACTTTTTTATTTTTCACGAAAAGATGTACAAAAAGTAGAAAGAAAATAGAATATTTAACTTTTTGATATAGGTTGTTAGTATTTTAATTTTTTTAGTAACTTTTTAACTTTTAAATTAAAAATGTTACTTCTTAAACAAGGCCTTAGTCTAGTTGGCAAATTTAAAATTGAAATATTTTTGTTAACGGTTAAAATAATTTATATTTTTTATTTAGAAAAAACAAAAAACTTTTATATTCTTTGTAATTTATTAAATTTTATTATAATATCTTATATGAATCAAATAAAAAAATTAAAAAAAAAAAAAAAACTAAATAAACGTTTGTTTTGTTGATGTATAAAATATCCCGTTAACTATACGAAGTGTGAACGGAATAACTTGTCCAAATTGAGAACCAGTGGGTATGCAAAAGTGTATTTGACTAGTTTAATCTTATTTTGTTATTCTCAAAAAATGAATGAAATGGTTCACGTGTGAGCTTCAAAGGATAAGGAGTCTATGCCTATTATGCAGTATTTCATTGGACGTCAGAGATTTCGTTTTCTTTCTGTCTCATGATATTTTGCTCTTATATTTCTCTGTTATTTTTCAAAAAAAAAAAAAAAATTTATACAGTTTTTAATAATATGTAGAAAAAAAAAAATTGAACATATTTGGTTAACTAAACTGCATACATATCTTTTTTACTATGCAAATATTCATAATTTTTTCAAAAAGTTATAATTAGGCATAATAAGCTCAAAAACTTACAAATTGCAGCTTAAAAAAATATCACTTTTAAATAAGTTGAAAAAGTCTAATAAAGCATAATTTAAGATTGAAACCAAACAGCATTAGGTAGTTTTGTTTTTTAGCAACTAAACTAAAGAAGTTAACTTATTGGTGCTACCAAATTGAACTAATGTATCATTAAGTTTCTTTGTCCATAATTAAATCAAAATGCTAAAGGCCTCAAAAATTCTATCAAAAGTTTTACTAAATGTCTTACATGGGTATGGGACTCACATGGACCCACGTTGTGTGGGTCCCACATCCATGTGAGACATGTTGGTCCCACATCCATGTGAGACATTTAGTAAAATTTTTAATAGAATATTTGAGATTTCTAACATTACTCTAATTAAATATATACGACAATTAAATAATTAAGTAGTCGGTGTCTCCCAGTGGTTATAACAAAGTGATATAAAAATAATCCTTGGTGACTGACCGACGAGGAAAGAACAATAATTACTAGTTAAACGAAAATCAAATATAAAACAATAACATGGATAACAAAAATAAATAACATTGGGGTGTGATGTAATGGTTTGTTAGCCATATTTTAGAACATGGTGAGTGGGAGATTAAGAGTTCAAGTTAATGGAATAACGATCAATCTTTCCATTATAATTTAATATACTAACATATTAATGTCTTTGACACGCACACAAAAAAAAATTTGATGAGTACGATTTTACAAAAATTGTTTGTCAGATTTACATTTAAATTTTTTGTCTATTCATTTATTTTATGTATCTAATTTTGCGTTTTTTTGATTTATTAAAGAAAAAATATATATAAATGTAAAAAAATGATGTAAAAGTTTTCTCTCTAAATCTATTTTCTGAACCCAATGATGTATAAGTGATATGATTAGTTGATAATTAGAGAAGATATAAAAAAAAATATTATCTTTAATATCTTAATTGATTACCACATCATTAAACTTAAAAATAAGTGCAATTTTTTAGAGCAGAGTAAGGAATCTGTAAAATCTGTAATCCGATCCGCTCCAATCCAATCCGGTAGGTTTGGATTAATTTTTTGAATCTGTGGTTTGGTTCCGAATTGAAAAATTAAAAATCCGTAGTCCATAGATTGATTCCGGATTGAACCCTACGGTTCTGAATTGGAACCGATCCGGACTATATACAAATAGCCTAGAAATGGGTGGCATTGTAGTTAAGGCTTGGGGTTTAAGCCCCAAGGTCACAGGTTCAATTCCCTTCCTCTTGGGCCAATCTCCTAGGCGAAGCATAGTTGATTAGGAGGTTGGACCTCAAGTTGTCTAATCAGCACTTGGTGTAGGTTTAATGCTCCCCTACTATGCGAGTCTTGACTTAAGCGGAGCTTGTTTTGGGAGGTCGGGACAAGTTCTCATGTTATAGTCTCCTTGCTCGGACCGGCTAACAAGACACCCTGGTGATTTCTGCAAGGAGCGCTGCCTTGGACCTGCGGGAGGGTAGGGAGGATTTTCCTGTAACAAAAAATATATATATATATATTTATGTTAAACACCCTCCTGCATAGTGTAGACGTCCCCGAACGCCCCGGGAAAATCCCGTTTTGTTCATTGGGCTCACTACAGCTCGGACTCAAATGTCACGGTTCTTAATCTGATCTCGCAAAGTGCAATGCGAGATTGATAAATCACCAAAGAGTTCAAATCCGGCAAATCGTTTTGAAAAACTGATTTTTAGAAAAAAGTGCCAAACATGGACTGTTTTTCTAAATACATAATCGCCACATAAATATTTTATTTTGGAAAAATTTAGGAAATCCTGACTCGTGCCTAAGGCCACTTGTCCGTCATCACTAAAGTTGTCTCGGCTTGAGAACTTTGGTACGATTGGGGAAGGTCATGCAATGAGCACCCCCGCTCGCCCGATCAAAGATCGGCCTTTACTAAACATGATATCTTGTTTTTGAAAACACATGCGTTCTTATTCCGGTTTATTAGCCTAGAATTACTACGTGATGCGCACAGCAAAACAAGTATAGACTAGATCGCCTAATTTGGAACAAAGCATTGCATATCCGTTTGTTTGGAAAATGATTTGAAGTTTGCTACTCGAAAGTAGGCTAAAATGCAGATTTCAATGAATTGTCCCAATTCAAGTAATCCAACCTTCACCCACAAGCATTCAGGCAGTTATATCACATAAGCAGTTAGCCTCATGGTAAACATGCTATCATGGCAGTCACTCACACACATGCAAGGATGCTAAAGCGTAAACACTTATCAAGTACTCCAAGCCAAAAGAGAAATTAGTTAGCAATCAATGCATGATCCTAGTTCATGTTAAGATGGCTAATGCAACACATGCAAAATGCAACTAAGATAGGCTCGGCTATTCTAAGATGGCATATAAGATGCTACAGATAACATGTATTCAACTTGGAATTGAAATACAATGCAGTTAGTATGATGTGCCGAGCCCGGTGCATACAAGATAGATAAATGAATGCAAACATGCGAAGCATAAGGATGCTAGTTGAAACATACCCTAAAACTAACCATCGTAAGCTGGTAAATAAAAGGGAGAAAGACGTGGGGTTGAAAGATATGCATCACACACACGCACACTTATTACAAAATTCTCCCTATCGACGGAGGGTCCGAATAAATAATACAACACCAATTAGCTAATCTATGCTAATCTAATTAAGCTAGTTATTACACAACCAAAATGAATAAAAAATTACAGCTAATTATTACACAACTCTAATTAATTAACAAACTAACTAAGTAAGCAATTAAACTAGCATGCAAACTATATGAATGTGGACTGCCTCAGCTTTACCTTGAATGATAAAGGATGCATGCGTGCTCGAGTCGCCTTGTCGGGAAGTCGATCGCAATGCCCCAGCTGCCTTTGTTTGCAATTGATTTCAAAAACTTGCACAAAGCTCCAGAGAGATGAAACTCCACCCCGGGAAACTGTGGGAAGGCCATCGACCAGCTATAGGCATGGGAGACCACCTACCGACCATCTTTGGTGGTGGAAACCAAAAAAGGTGGTCGGCCAGCCACTAAAACTGATCGGCCGACCAGTTCCTTCTCCTGGTTTCTGTTTTCTGCAACAAAGGAAAAGGGAAGGGCACGACAAAGTATTTTCAACATATGTGTGCATGACCACTATTCCAATCATTGCTTAAGCTCTAGGGAGTGTAGTCCTCGACCCTCGGGCCACCAATCACGCATCCCAATGCATGATGGCTGGGG